GGAGGCTGTAGAGCTTTTTAGCTGCTCCAGTAGGTCCTGCTGCTTCTCAAAAGCTTCTCACCATGACTATGATACTCCTAATGTGGGACTTCTTGGAATGGGAGAAACACGCTGGATGATCTCTGCTGAAAGACTCATGTATTTCTGTCCTTTGAAGCAATAAATCTTCCATCTTATTAATTTTAATGCTTAAGACAACACGTAAATTTAATTTCTGAAATACTTAAAGCTTATTTAAATGATTTCTAGTGCAGCCTGTACATCAAGATTAATTTCTCTCCATCCAGGTAATCTCAATCTGAGGTACAATTACAGCCAAAACCTTTATTTTTTTTCCCCTCTTTCTTTACATGAGAAAAGCGGCAGAGGGGACTGACAGTCCCAAGTAAATTAGAGACTTTATCTTCTGTTGATGTGATAAAAAATTCAGCTCTTATGGAAATTTAAATAGAACAGCCAGATTCTCAAATGGGTAATAAAAATAAACCAACACGACAAACAATTCAGCTCTTGTGGAAATTTAATCCTCAAATGGGTAATAAAAATAAACCAACACGATAAAAAACCAACTGATACATCTGATATCACAACTTCTGTAACAGCACTGTGTTTTAATCTACAGATTCTGCCCAAAGAAGCAAGAAATTATAGAGATTTAATCCAAACCAACTGCCCTCTCTGCTTCTCTCACCTGAAAATAAGTTATTTTACAGCCACACCTACCAGTGAAGTTGGTAAACGTTGGGATTCCGATACCACAGCCCCAAGTCCCCCACCAGGACCACGCAAGCTCAAGGAGCACACGTCACTCCAGTACCCTGAACGAGCCCACCTCATCCACCTAACCGGGATGTAACGCTCCAGAACACCCAGGGATTTATCAGAGACTGAGCAGACCCGTGGTGAAAATCACTTTGAACACATTTCTCCCTCTGCCCTACTCGCAGAAGGGCACAAGGCTAAAAACAAGCAGACTTATGTCGACAGTTCATGTGAAAAAGGTTTATTTGTGAAAGACATTGGGCATCGTTTGGAACTACAAAAAGAAAAGATAAAAATTAGTCACACAAAGGAACACGCAGCTTTGAACTCTGCATATGACCCAAGTTACACACAACCTCCTGTCTACTAGCTGCTCCTGCTCCCACCAGCACTTGATTCACTCCGAAGCATCATTCTAAGTGAAGAACAACCAATCCTAGTTAGAAACACTTTGGAGAAGAGTGATATTGTCCCCCTTTAACATGATCCGACCTGCAACAGAGAGAAAGGAAAGGGGGGGGATTAGAGGACAAACAGAAGTGACCTGAGAGTAAGATGGTGAGTGGATCTCTAGGGCTGACTGTGGGTGTGAGAGCACCTGCGTGTTTCTAGGGGTGAGACAGCCCAGCAGAGGGTGGCTACTGGGACCTGGACAGTCCTGGCCATTTCTGTGTGCTCTGTTCCAGCAACTGGAGTAGGGCTGCAACCTCTGGGTCTCTTATGTTCATATGCTAGTGACTGGGGAGCTGCTGGGCAAACTGTGTGTCTGAGCCCAGCTGCTGGAGAGATCCACCTGACAATAACCTTGTGTTTTCAAAAACATTTCACAACAGCAAAGGCACTTGCAAGGAGACATCCACACGATGACTGACCGGATTTTTATCAGGAACACCAAGTCCCTTCCCACCTGGCCACGCTGCAGGGCTGTAAGTGTGGCTGTGCACGGCTCAAATCCACAGTTCACACTATGATGTACCAGACACATCTCTGCTCCTGTGCTCGGTGTTTGAACAGCACTCTGTCCCCAACAAGAGCCCAAACACACTCTGTCCCCAACGAGAGCCCAAACACACTCTGTCCCCAGCAAGAGCCCAAACACATCCCTCAGCACAGAAATCTGTTCACCCTCACCCACAGCTGGTAAATATTAAATACTGCCACTGAGTTGGTTCCCTGCTCTGACTTGCCAGCAAGTGTCAGAATTGCTCAGGGTCAATCCATGTTAGATGGAGCTGGGAGGAGTTTGACCAGACCCCTCCAGCCACCCTGGCTGCAGAACTGCAGTTCCTATGTTGTTACAAACATTTGAATAACAAAAACTGGCAGCTTTTCTTGCATATTCAACAAAACCACCAGCTCAAGAAACAGCAGGAACCGAGACCCAGGCAGCATGTGCTCCCTGTACTTCAAACTCAACGCTCCTCACGTGTTTCACACTTTAAAATGCTATTTGAAAAGCTCACACAACCAGGTCTGAGGCATCACTCAGGTGACACAGACACTCTGAACATACCCAGCTGTTTCCTTGATTTCGTTTTGGAGTGAATCTCCTCTGCATCATCCAGCACCAAGTTCATATATTCATCAAAACCCTAAAATCAGCAACAAAAGCAGCCAGTGAGTCAAGGTCCCTGGTCTGAACTTCAGCAACAAGGATACAAACTGTCATTAACTGTGCTAATGGGGGTTGGATAATTAAAACTAAGGAGAGGCGTGAAGTATTTGCACTCTTCCATATTAGTTTTTCTTGACAGGAAGAAATAGTTTTATGAATCAAAAAGAAGAAAAACAAAAACAAAACAAAAACCCCCCAAACAAACAGACAAAAAAATCCCACCCCCAAACAAACAAAAACCAAACAAATAAAACCCCAAACAAATAAACAAAAACCAAACAAAAACCCCAAACAAAAAACCAAATAAAAACCCCAAACAAACAAAACCCCCCCAAAAAACCAAACAAATAAACAAAAACCCCAAACAAACAAACCCCCCCAAAACCAAACAAATAAACAAAACCCCAAACAAACCGGAAAATATTTGATGAATATATTTTAGTCTCTCTAAATGCTTAGTTTTTGATAAATGGAAGTGGCCTCTGAAGAATACTACAAAACAAACAAACAAAAACCCCAAACAAAACCCCCCCAAAAAAACAAACATAAACCCCAAACAAACCCCCCCAAAAAACCAACCAAACAAAAACCCCAAATAAAACCCCCCAAAACCAAACAAATAAACAAAACCCCAAACAAACAAACACCCCCAAAAAACAAACAACAAAACAAAACAACCCCAACAAAAAACCAACTCAGTCCAGAAAATACTATCATAATATTAGAAATGACCCCAAAAAAACAAATAAACAGAAACCCCCCAAAAACAAGCAACCAAACAACCCCCAAAATGAACCCCAATAACAAGGGGACACCCCGACACTCACAATGATGCAGCCTTCTATCCGCATGTTCACCTGCTCGTACAGCCACACCTGGATCCTGGATCTCTGCAAAGTGATGGGGAAGGAAAACAAACCAGGAACATCAACACCACCAGCGTTTTGGTCTCACCTGTACGTGGAGTGACCCTGCTACCTACAGCCACTGTAGCTCTGTAGCACTCGGAGGAGTGACACGTGGTTTCACTTCTGTCCTCGGATGTTTTTTAAGTATTACACTATTAAATTGTTTACATGTTTGCTGGAGAAGAGAAGGTTCTGGGGAGACCTTCTAGTGGCCTCCCAGTACCTGAAGGGGCTCCAGGAAGGCTGGGGAGGGACTCTGCCCAAGGGCAGGGAGTGACAGAACAAGGGAAAAAAAAGGGAGATGGAGATGAGATCTGAGGAAGAAATTCTTTGGTGTGAGGGTGGTGAGACAGTGTCCCAGGTTGGCCAGAGAAGCTGTGGCTGCTCCTCCCTGGAAGTGTTGAAGGCCAGGTTGGATGAGGCTTTGAGCAACCTGGTCTAGTGGAAGGTGTCCCTGCTGCTGGCAGGGGGGTTGGGACTGGATGAGCTTTGAGATCCCTCCCAACCCAAACCAGTCTGGGGTTCTGGGATTTTATAATTTATAATTTAACCATTTAGACTTTAAACCTGCCACGGAAACATCCCGGCGCAGCAGACGGCAGGACCGGAGCCATTTAACTCAGCTAATAACGACCACGGGCTCTCCACAGCCCCACACATCATTCTCAGGGTGTTTCCGTGACCGGTTTTTCCGGTATCACC